GACAAAAACAGAGAGTTGTGCTAAAGCTTCCCCTAGTGTGGTGTATGTGAGTAAAGTGTGTAGAAAGACCTGAGCCGGAGACGGAAATAAACGGTCCTTACAGTGGTATCAGAGACAGAACCGCCGTCTGCCGCCGTCCGCCGCCGTCGACCGCCACCGTCGATTGGAGCTCATCGAGGGTCGCTGGAGCTGCCTGGTTGTTCGCACGAACTCACTGGCCTTCCACCGTGGCTTCTGCTTGTCGAAATCAGGCTTGTCAGAAGCTCAAGCCATCATACCCGAAGTTTCAGCCGTCGCCTGGGAGTTCCGCCGTCAAGGTCACTGTGCATCACCACCAGAAGTCCTGACCGATGCCTGAGAATCGCTGACACCGGACAATCGCCGCCGCTCGTTCCTCGCCGTCGATAGACCGCCGTCCGTCGCCTCTGTGCGTCCTCCTCTGAAATTGACAGAGGCCGGTCTTCGTTCGTCGCAAGCCTCGCGTAGAAGAAACGCAACTACAGCCAGAGGCTTTCGTACTGAAGGAGCTACTGGGCCTGTTGTACTGCTGGACTTGGGCCTGAGATTGCTGGGTTGCTGAACCAGAGCTGGACTTCGGTTCTCTGAAGTTTGGGCTAGACGGGTACTGTAGCAGTGCAGCTGCTGGAGGCTTGGAAACTGGATTTGGGCTGGACCTTTTGCTGCTAGGCTCGATCATGGACCTGGACTGCTAAAGCTAAGCTACTGGATTGCTGTTGGAGCTGAGTTGCTGACTTGGACGGCTGGAGGTGCTGAACCGCCAGTCGACGCTGGTCAACGCCGGTCAACGCCGGTCAACCCTCCAGAAAAATCCCATTTTTTTTAAAAAAAATTGGGTAGGTAAGGTCGAAACGCTCTCCTAGGGTTTCGCGAAGGTAAGTTTTCTTTAAACTTCCTATTTGTAATTTTCCGGCTTTAATTTAATTTAATTTAATTTATTCCCCCTCCCCGCGGGCCGCCGGTTGATTTAATCCCGGCCGCCAACCCCCCAGGTACGTTTTCTAAACTCACTCCTTTGTGGTACTTTGTTTTAGTTAATTAATTAAATTGCTTTGTGTTATTTAATTTAATTGTTATGCGTAGGGGTGGTTTATTGGGTGGTAGGGGTAGAATTAATTAAATTTAATTTTTTTCTGCCCGGAATTGTTTAATTGCCATTATGTCCATTTTTTTTTGCTATGTGTTGCATGCTGCCCGGGGTTATTAAAGTGAATACTTTATAGCCCGGGTTGGATTGTTTTCTGTCAATTCAGTCTGTTTAGCTTTGTGTTCCTTTGTGGTTGATACCATGGCTGCGAATCAGTATGGTATGCTTCCATTTAATGGAAAAACAGATTTTGATATTTGGAAACAGAAAATAAAATGTGTTTTAATACAGCAAAAAGTTTTCAGAGCTGTCACTGGTATTTTCCTTGAATCAGAAGATAAGGCTAAGCAAATTGAAATGAACGAAACTGCTTGTTCTACTATTTACTTGAATCTGTCTGATTCTGTGCTTAGGAAAGTGGGTATTCTTGAGTCCGCTAAGGAGTTGTGGGAGAAATTGGATAGTCTCTATACTGATACCTCTTTGCCCGGGAAGTTGTTCTTACTAGAGAAATTCTTTAGGTTTAGGCTTGACCTGACTAAGGATATAGATGAGAACCTGGATGTGTTTAATAAACTGATACAGAATATCAAACAGGCAGGTGATAAACACATAGATGATTACACTCCCATAGTATTACTTAATGCCATTCCCGACTCTTATAATGATGTTAAGTCTGCTATTAAGTACGGTAGGGATGAGATTTCATTAGACATTGTGGTGAATGGGTTAAGGAGTAAGGAATTAGACCTGAAGCATGCTAGGGGTAGTGCTAGTCAGTCCAGGGACTCCGGTGAGGCTATGTTTGTTAGGGGTAGATCTAAGGGTAGGTCTAAGAACTCTAAGCAAAATAGTCAGGGTAAGAACACTAGTCAGCCTGGGAGGAAGAGGAGCAAATCTAGGAAGAGAGTGTGTTACAATTGTGGTAACACTGGCCATTTCATTAAGGATTGCCCCCACCCTAAGAAGACCGAGCATGCTAGTGTAGCTGTTGATAAATGTGACCTTGGTGATATCTTGATGGTTTGTGACCATGTTAATTCTGTGAGAAATTCCCTGTCTGAGCATGAATGGTTGATTGACTCTGGTTGTACCTATCACATGTCCCCCTTTAGAGATTTGTTTTCTACTTATGAATCATGTGATAGTGGCTATGTTTCCTTAGCTGATAATAAGAGATGCAATGTGCTTGGTGTTGGTGATATATGTCTGAAGTTTTCTTGTGGCTCTGTGTTTACCATTAAGAATGTGAGGCATGTCCCTGATTTGTGTCATAACTTGTTATCTGTTGCTGCTTTGGAGAGTAGTGGGTTACAGGGAAAATGGGGGAATGGTTGTATGAAAATCCTGAAAAACTCGCTTGTTTTGTTTAAAGCTGAGAAGGTGAATAACCTTTATGTGTGTCATGCTAAACCTTTTGCTGAGTCTGTGAATGTTGTATGTTCTGATAAGACCTCTTTGTGGCATAATAGGCTAGGACATATGAGCAATAAGGGTTTAGATGTCATGCGTAGGGCTGGTTATTTTGGTAAGGACTCTGTGACTTCTGTGCCTTTTTGTGAATCATGTGTGTTAGGCAAGCAGCATAGAGTCAGTTTTCCTCCTTCCTCTTACCCTAATCTGTCTAAATGTTCGTCTGTGCTTGAATATGTTCATGCCGATGTTTGGGGTCCTGCCAGTGTTCCTACCCACGGGGGTAGGAAATATTTCCTTTCTATTATTGATGACTTTTCTAGGAAGGTGTGGGTTTGCCTTTTAGAACACAAGTCAGATGTGTTTGTGAGGTTTAGGGAGTGGAAAACCCTAGTTGAAAACCAAACTGGCAGGAAGGTTAAAACCCTTAGGACTGATAACGGGTTAGAGTTCTGTAATAAGGAGATGGATAAGCTGTGTGTGGATTGTGGGATAAAAAGGCACAAAACTGTGCCTTATACTCCCCAACAGAATGGGATAGCAGAGAGAATGAATAGGTCTCTATTGGATAAGGTTAGAAGCATGTTAGCTACCTCTGGTTTGTCTAAGAAATTCTGGGGTGAAGCAGTCACTACTGCTGCCTATTTGATTAATAGGTCCCCGTCTGTCCCTCTTGGTGGTAAATGTCCTGAAACCGTCTTTACCGGTAAGCCTCTTGATCTGTCTAACCTTCGGGTGTTTGGTTGTGCAGCGTATGCACACCAACAGGGTGACAAGTTGGATCCTAGGTCTAAGAAATGTGTCTTCCTAGGTTATCCAGAGGGGGTAAAGGGTTACAGGTTATGGGATAGGAACCAGGTAGGCTTTAAAGTGGTCCTTAGCAGAAATGTTGTGTTTAATGAAACTGATTTTCCTTGCTTGACCGAGTCTGCTTCTAATCCTAAGTCTAGGTCTGATAGTACTCCTAGTGAGGTGGAGTCTGTCCCTGTTGCTGCTAGTCCTTTATCTGTTGATCCTGTTATTTCTGATGATATTGTTATGCATGATTCTGATTCCTCTGAGCATGATAGTCCCACCACCTCGAGTGAGGTGGAGCATTTGCATGATACTGAGCATGATTTGCATGATATGGGTGCTGAATCTGATTTTCATGATAACAATAATTTGCATGAGTTGCATGTGGAGCCTAGTAGTGATAATTTGCATGATTATCAACTTGCTAGAGATAGGAGTAGAAGGGCTATCAGGAGAACTGCTGATAGTATGCCTGATTATGCTTTCATTGTGCATGATACTTCTATGTTTGCTTTTTCTGTGTTTGAATCCCTAGAGCTGAATGAACCCAAGACCTACCGTGAAGCCTTAGGTTCCAAAGAGTCTCAGAAATGGATTAGTGCCATGAAAAGTGAGATGGACTCTTTGAGAGTGAACCAGACTTGGACCCTTGTACCTAGACCCCCCAACTGTTCGGTAGTTGAGTGCAAGTGGTTGTTTAAGGTTAAGGAAGAACCTAGTGATGTTAGGTTTAAGGCTAGGTTGGTTGCGAAGGGGTTTACTCAAAAAGAGGGGGTAGATTATGCAGAAATCTTTGCTCCTGTTGTTAAATTCACCACTATTCGTATGATGCTTGCTTTAGTTGCTCACCATGACTGGGAAATGAAACAGATGGATGTAACTACTGCATTTTTGCATGGTGAATTGGATAAAACAATTTATATGACCCAGCCTGAGGGCTTTGTGGATCCCAAGAGAAGTGAGCATGTCTGTTTGCTTAGGAAGGCTTTGTATGGCCTGAAGCAATCCCCTAGGCAGTGGAACATCAAATTTGATAAATGCATGATATCTTTGAAGTTCCAGAAATCTGTTTGTGATCATTGCCTGTATTTCAAAAATACTTCTTCTGTGCCTGTATTTTTGTTACTCTATGTGGATGACATGCTGATAATTAGTCCTTCTCTGAATGCTATTAAAGATGTGCAGAAATGTCTTTGTGCGAATTTTGCCATGAAAGACCTAGGTGATGCCAAGAGGATCCTAGGCATAAACATTGTTAGGGATAGGAGTAAGCGTACTCTTACTTTGAATCAGATTTCTTACATAGAAAAAGTTTTGAGTAAATTTAATATGTTATCTGCTTCTCCTGTTAATGTCCCTTTGGCATCTCACTTTGTGTTAAGTAAGGACCAGTCCCCCAAGACTGCTCCTGAAATTGAGAAAATGAAATCTGTGCCTTATTCCAGCGCAATAGGGTCGGTGATGTATCTTATGGTTAGCACTAGACCTGATATTGCATATGCGGTTAGTTGCTTGAGTAGATATATGTCCAACCCTGGTTTGCCCCATTGGAATGCTCTTAAGTGGTTGCTTAGATATCTGATTTCTACTGTGAAGCATGGATTAATTTTCTCTAAATGTGCTAGTGGTATTGAATTGATTGGTTATGTTGATTCTAACTATGCAAATGATAGAGATAACAGGAAGTCGACCACTTCTTATGTTTTTACTTTGTGTGGCTCTTGCATTAGTTGGAAGTCTCAACTACAGCCTATTGTGGCCCTTTCTACCACTGAGTCCGAGTATGTTGCAGCCACAGAAGCGTTTAAGGAAGCCATCTGGCTCAAACGCCTTGTCTCCGAAATTGGGTTTCTCAAAAAGGGAGTTACCATTTTCTCGGATAGCCAATCGGCTATCCAACTTTGCAAAAATCCTGTATTTCATGATAGAACTAAGCATATTGATGTTAGGTTCCATTTCATACGTGATATTGTTGATGCAGGTGGAGTCAAGCTGTGCAAGATCCCGTCGGAGTTTAACCCCGCGGATATGGGTACCAAGTGTCTTTCTGCTGAGAAGCACTTGTCCTGTAAACGCGTGTTAAACTTTGACTGTGGATAACTGTGGGTTGCCTAATAAAGTGTTTGCCCGTTGTGTCTGTTGATATTCCGGGTGACCCGGCGATGATGAGTCTTGTCACAACTTTGTTTTGTTACTCTACACCACCTAGGACCAATAAGGTGGAGAATGTTGGAGGTATTGGTCCTACCAAGGCCTCCCTTCCACTTTATTTGCTGAGGCTTGCACCCTATTGTTTTACTCCCACTTTGGTACCTTTTATCTTGGTATATTACCTGATCAATAATATACCTGTTGACTCCTTACCTGGCTTTGGCCTCTTGTACTGTCCACTGCAGTACCTGCTCTTGGCTTGCTATACCCGTGAGTGTCCTTTGGCCATCCCGTGAATGTCCTTGTTGTTGGCCCATAGGCTGGCAGCCTACTATAAGTCAACCCTTTCCCCTTCTTTGTGAGAGCAGCCTGCGAGAAACACTTCCAGAGAGCAGTGCTCTCCTTCTTCTCTTTCCCTTTGTGTGAGAATTGAGAGTAGGACTTAGTGGTGAGACAAAAACAGAGAGTTGTGCTAAAGCTTCCCCTAGTGTGGTGTATGTGAGTAAAGTGTGTAGAAAGACCTGAGCCGGAGACGGAAATAAACGGTCCTTACACTTCCAAGTAATATCCAATGTGGGCTTCTTTTTATTGAAAAACCAGTTAAGAGGCACAACATTACAAAGATGAGCTATTTACCTTTTGTAATTTTATTGTTGTAATTGATTTTAATTTACATAGTTACGACTGTGATTTTTTTGTAAAAATGTGTTATGTGTTTATTATTTTTAGTTGAAGTTATTTTTTTAAAGTTATTCTCTATTTGCTATGACAGGAAATGGGAGCAAGAGTTTGGGGCTTCTAAGAGAAAGCTTAACAAAAAAGGGATGAGGTTGTACATTGATGAGTTCCAGCCTCGCTTAGTTTGACTTCCGGCCGAGCGCTCGCCGGAGTATGCCAACTGCTATCACCACGACTACATAAGCAACGGCGGTTCGCGTCTCTCTCGGTTCAATCTGAAAATGCTTCCTAGTCGGAGCAATTCGGCCCATCCAGGTTGTCCGCACTCGTCGCCATATTCATGCCCTCTCGTTCTTCACCTGCGCAGCAGCAATTTCTGCGTCCTGGCTCTTTTTCTCTACGATTCCAACCCTTCTGGCTCCTACATCACTTGAGAAGCTAATGGATGCCATGAGAGAGGAACTTCCAGAAACAATGGCTGCAGTGCGGTTATCTGGAATGGACATCAGTGACCTGACAATGGAGCTCGATCGATCAGTGACCTCGGTCGGGAATTAACACAAGGCGTGGCAGGGGAGAGGCTGCAGCAGTTGACCAACATTGCACCATCAGCTACCACGCAGAACCAGCATTGGCTAGAAATTTGTCAGGGGGCATACGGGAGGGGGTTGTTAAAGGGTTGCTAAATTTTGTGGATTGAAAGTTGAACAAAGAGTGCTTCCAGGCTTCGATTTCTGTCAAGTCCCTTTACAATTATTTCCCTCTGTCTAGGGGTTGATATAGTCCAGTTCCGGACCGGCCGGTCCCGGGGGAGGTGGACCCGAGACCGGCACAGGTATTTCCGGTTTGCACCGGTTCCCGTCAACCGTGAACCGTGAAACACAGTACGTCAGGTGGCCTTCATTCCAGTCCTTCCGGTGTTAAGAGACAGAGGCGACTTCCGACTGGCCTCCCTTCCCTTTTCTCACGTTTCTCTCTATTTTACTAACGACGCAGGTCGTCGAAGTTTGGTTTGGTTGGGTTACTCTAGGAGTTGAGGCAAGTATATATATACACACACATGTGAGGGGGCATTTTCAAACACTATTCCGGTAGTGTTGGCCAATTTAAGAGACTAAACATATACCTGCTTCTATTTTGAAATATAAGCAACAACTTACCTATTTATGGCAATAACTTTTGATAATATACACTAAATGAACTCTTGATAATATTGTATCGAAAGCATACATTGCAATATAAGACCATAACTCATTCCAAGAATCCAAGTTTGGAATCTAAGTATATGTTGCAATAAGACCATTTTATTGACAGTAATTCCCCGTTGTAAGCATATATTGAGAGGATGAGGCACTTCAACATTTTGGGGCTACGACAACACCAATTTTTGATATCCCATAAAACCGTTGCGTTATGTTATCATGAACTAAATTTTTTTAATAGTGTTCTGGAAATACATAAATATTTATATTTTAAATGCATCACTAAAAAACTGTTTTCAAAATATAATTGGCAACAATTTATTTTTTACTCCCTCCGTCCCATTTAAAGGTTCCCGTACACTATTCTCCGGTCAACGTGCATTGTTCTTAATCTTTTACTTTTTATATCGAAAGTTTATGAAATTTAAATTATTTTTTGCAGGTTTTGTTGCGGGTTTAATGTAGTTTCTGAATATGTAAATTTTATTTACTAAAAATAATTCTATTAATGACAGGGATCAGTTAACTTTATGGTCTGTCAAACATCGTAAATCATGTGGGAACCTTAAAGTGGGACGGAGGGAGTATTAGAACTTCCCCACACTTTAAAACTGTTGCCAGACACTCCTAATCTCCTATGATTTTTTTTCAATAAAACTTATTTCTTAGACGGATTAATCCTATCTGGGCACCAAGGTATTTTATTTTGGGCTTATTCCTTTTTACTGCTAAATTGGCCTATAGTACGTTAAGGCAGGAAACTTACAACCTAAAATTCAGGCATACTTCTATCCTTAACAAGTGTTTGCAACTGCTTCTGCATAAAAAAGCACTTTTAGTGATTTGAAAAAAGTGATTAGTAGTAAAAGTTGATATATAGTGTTTGAAAAAAAGTGATTTTCAAAAATAAAAGTTGGTAGAGCTTGGTAAAATAAGTGTTTTTTGTGTAATAGAAAAGGTAAAAACACTTTTCACACGGAAAAAAAAAGTAAAAATTAGTAATGTTTTGTAAATAAATGCTTTTTTTAGCGAAAAGCTGAGAAGTACTATTTTTTTTTAAAAATTTTTAAGATGTTACAAACACTCCCTGAAACTGAGGTTAGAAATCGGCATCTCAATCAGCGGCTTTGATCCCTATTCCAACCGGAATCACAATCACTGGTTCACACTCGGAATCACAAAAGCAACAGAAGAAAACTTCTCTCTCCCAAGTGAATCGTACACGCACGCACCCACGCAAGGGAAAAGGCAGAGAAGTTTCTGAGGACTGATTCTTCTTTTTCTTCTTCATGATAACCTCGATTGGTAAATTCTTCATTGCTTTCCAATTTTTTTGCACATATTTTAAAAAAACGATAGATTTCTCTATTAAAATTAGTAAATTACAGATTTTGGAGATTGGTTGGAGAAATCGGATTACTTTGAGTCCGGGAAGCAACCTCATCAACCTTTTATAAATTGGTATCAAGCAACTAAATTTCATTATTTTCCATACTCCCGAAATCATCTTATCAATGTTCCACATCTTGTGATCGCTTGGGCGGCTACTAAATTTTTGTCATTTCGTGTATGAAATGAGGGTTACTAAGTCAGATACGCGTATCGGTTCACGGATATGGGTATCAGAAGTATCAGTATTTTTAAAATTAAGCTCGATACTTTTATTAAATTACGGATACGGACCCAATACGTATAGGACGCGTATCAGTGAGTATTGGATACGGATACGTATCGGATACACGGATACGGCATCAGGGTGAAGTATCGGTGCAACATAGGCTTGCACTAGGTTGGTTGTGTACTTGTGTTAACCCTATACTACAATTGTTGTATTTTCCTTCCAGATTACAAAATGGGCAATTTCATACAAATGATTAATTCAGAGCAGTTAAAAAATTTCATAATTAGCATTATCAATTGATTATTACACGCATACTTGATTTTGTTCCGAATAACGAAAATTAGTTTGAATTTGAGTTCAGGCTTCGTTCCTTTTCTATAATAGCACTATACGATTAAAAAACAGAACCTGCGTCTTTATCTTGTCCGTTACACTATGTAGATTTCATTTATTTGGGTATTTAGAGTCATTATTTAGATATTAGTTTGATTTTTTATTTTAGAAAAGATTCCTTTTCTATAATAGCACTATACGATTAAAAAAAAGGAACCTGCATCTTCTTGTCCGTTACACTATGTAGAATTCATTTATTGGGATATTTAGAGTCACTATTTAGATACTTTTCCAGATTTGGTGTCTTCTGAAATTTATTTTATAAATTTAAAATTAATAAGGGTATATTTGCTCCTTTATAAGAATATGAGGAGTATATTTGTACCTTTTAAAATTTTCAAGGGTATATATGCACTTTCACAAATACTTTAGGGGTATTTGTTCTGAAAAATAGAACAAGGGTATATTCCGAAACCCTGTTCTATTTAATAAAAGACTTTATTGCAAAATATATTTTCTGATAGAAAAGTTCTAAAATTGCATAATTTTATTAGTTACAGAACCAAATTTGCAACCGAATAAAGTTGTAATAACACATAGAGCCGAAAGTTACGGAACTGAAATAATTCTCTCTGTTGTAGGGAAGTGAGAGTAGTGTCTTCATTCCATTAGTAAGCCCCCTTTAAATAGGAGGGATTAGGGTTTTACAAGGAGTGGGCCAATGGGCCAATTAGCTCAATACATATAATCCCTAGGTACACTTTCTATCTATAACGAATGCACATTAAAGTAATTTCCTTCAACACTCCCCCTTGTGCTGAGTTGTAGATAGCATGATGCACACCAAGCTAGTTGTCGTGTAGGAACTTCGTCAAGTAACAAAAACCCTGTGGGAAAAATAAACCTTGACGAGAAACTAGAGTTTATTGGACTTCGTTCATTGAGTCCTTTTGGATTCTTTACCTTGATCGTTACTCACAGTTACCTCGTTAAAAACCTTACCAAGTACCAAAAACCCAATGAGAGAAAATAAAGCTTGGTTTAAGGAAAAGAGTATAACGTGGAAATGTATGGTTGTAGTTGTGTAAGAAAAAAGTAAATGAATGTAAGCCAAACAAAACTTTCCAAAAGGAGAAATTGGAATTATTTTTTGGGACAGCCTAAAAAAGAAACCAGAAATTATTTTGTAGGACCGAGGGAATACTTTATTTTTGGTGTGCAATTTTGTTCGCATCACGTGTACTAGGTTAAAGACGATGAAAGCTGATCAAATGATGTCAACTCCAAAAGCAACACTACTAGCAGCTTATTATCAATTATCATATGAGGGGCCTATTGGTGGTGAGCGGTTCTCTAGTGCAAAGTCGAAGTGCTCGTTCGACTGTCTAATTAGTTGTCTTTGTGAGCAGTGTCCATGTCATGGCTCCCCTCCGTGAACAAATGACAAAACAACGGGCTTTTTTCTGTTTTCATTCCCAAATTGCAGGAGTGAGACTATTTTTCTAAAATTACGGGAAACAGGAACTAAATTCTAAAATGAGGAGAGAGAATATTTCGTCCTGCAAAGATGTTCCCATTTTCCTTTTTTGGATGTCTCAAAAAAAAGTTTCTCTTTCATTAAATGGAAAGTTATCCTATATCAAAATAGTGTCAAAAAGTGCAAAACAGTGTCAAACAATGTCAAACAATGTCCAAACAGTGTCCAAACAGTGTCGAAAAAAACATCAATTGTCTTCTGTGTACATGACGATTATAGAAAAAGTATACGCATTTTGTGTACACAAAAAATAGTGGACTTTTTGTATTTGCGATCAATTGAAATCAAAATTTTAATGGGCTTTTTCTGTGAATATTACTAAATTAAATTCAAAACACAAAAATAGGAATTGATTTGAAATTTTCAAAAAACGTGACATATTCAGTGATTAGTTTTGAGTGTTTCATTATATATCTACCAGTGATTTGTCACTCTAAAATATAATGTGGTGACTCTTATCTAGGTACTCATACATAGTGATTAGTCATATTGTTGTCCGAAAAACATAACTAATCATATTTTTCTTCGGAGAAACTCTATTAGTAATATACATGCCATTTCTTCAAATCTAATCCTTTTCCCAATTGTTAACGAATTACGTTGTTCTATAAATAAAAATAAAATTCAATTTCATTTAGTAAATTCATTTCAAAACCAATGGAATATTGTTAGGATAAAAAATTAAATAAAAAAGCCCATTACAAATGTGTGATTCCGATTCGAATTGTTTAAGAAATAAAAAAGAGTATTTGGAATTGGGGTTTCCGATTGGAATTGTTTATTTGAAATTATGCAATCTATTACCTAAAAAGAAAAGTAAGACAAGTAAAATGGGACAGATGGAGTAATTTTTTTAGGATTTGAAAGCAACCTATAACTACTACTATCTCCATCCTAAATTGATTTGCAAAGTCAACATTTTGTAGTAAATCAATGTTAAAGTTATATCTTCCGATAATTAATTCAACTTTTATAATTATAACTAACATATTCCAAAACAACATTAAAATCTCTATAATATAAGAATTAATATTCTAATTATATTTGCAAAATTCAAATTATAATTTAATTAAGAATTAATATTCTAATTAAGTGAATAAAATGAATCTATTTGATTCAAAAAATCAATTTTACTGTTCAATTTGGCATGAAGAAAGTACTCCACCGTAAATTTTTGGAAGCCCCTCCAAACGTGAACCCCCACCCTAGTACCAAAGATCTATTGCACTTCCTCTAAAACAACCCGTGACTCCATCCGGAGTGAGGACCACAAAAATTGGGAATGGACTAATGTGCATTTGTGCACGTGAATCTAAAACAACCCGTGACTCCATCCGGAGTGAGGACCACAAAAATTGGGAATGGACTAATGTGCATTTGTGCACGTGAATCTTTACCTTCCCCGTATAATGGAAGTCTGATCTGGTCTGATCTGGTCTAGGACTGAAAACAATTCAAAAGAAAACATTATAACTATACATTAATGTTTCAATTACGATATTATTCAAATTTGCGATCAAAAAATCCTAAATGGTAATCAAAATTTCATGTATAGAATTCACCCTACAACGATGACATGAACAAAAGTAAGGTGAAATGGACTTTACGCAGAGAATTATATTCCGGCCGCCACCGGCACCGCACATGTTTTTTTGGCCGGTAATTTGAATAATATTGTCAATTGAAACATTTTTGTATATTTATGATATTGATTTGATTCATTTAAAATTAGTTAAGATACCAAAATAGAACATTTAGGTATTGGTTATTGCTTCTTCCGTTCATTCTTCTCATGCATGGATCATGGATATAGAGGGTGTTTGGAGGAGCTAAATTGGGCTGATCAGCCTGAAACTCCGAAAAAAACACCAAACGATCATTACTTGAGTTTATTTGGTTGATTTCTATTATCAGCTGGAAAAGTAGGCTTTGAGTTACTTTATGTGCTGATTTCTATTTTTTAGATTAAGGACACTTCTATCCTCTTCAAAGCAAGCTGCCAACAAGTATGGGCTATGCGGCCAGCGGTGGACGCAGGAATTTCCGGTAGCAGTGGCGGCAATACAAAAATATACATACAAATACATATACATTAAAAATTTCGGGATAAATATACCTAGAATTTTTTTTGGAGGGGCAGCAGCCCCCCTTTGTCACCCCCTCTGTCCGCCACTGTATGCGGCTGCCGGCTGGAACGTCTAAATATGCATTTTTTAAAAAACAACATGGTAGTAAGCCGTAACGTAAATCTGGTTGTTGTGTAATTATAGATTAACAAATGTACAGTGTACTAGGTATTTCCTAATAAAATTTTAAGAACACACATATTGGTAAAACTAGTCACTCCTAAGTACTAACATAAATATATTTAATGTACTTCCTCCATTCTTTTTTAGTTGCAACGTTCAACATTTCACATTTGTCAACGCACGTCTTTGACCATAATTATATTTTAATCTCTATTAGTAAAAAAAAATTAAAAACCGGATTTTGAAACTTTGTAATGAGATGAATTGAACAATATCTTTTTTAAAAAACAATTTTCATAAAATAATAGCGTAAAATTTAGTCAAAATAGAGCCCGTGAATAGTGTAAAATTCAACATGTTGCGATTAAAAAGAAACGGAGGATAATATAAAGTAATACCCTTTTTGATAATTATACAATCAATCAACCAATTCAGCCAAAATATTACCAAACATTTGCACTTTACGCCATTGCACCCATTACCAAAGAGACCCTTAATGGCTCAGGGCTTACAAGAGAATGGAAGGGTACTTTTCTTTGTTTTGGAAAAAATGAAATGAGTAGGGGACCATCCTTTTGTTAGGGCATGCTCCGATCCTCATGATATTACAAGAGCACGTTACTCCGTGACCATTTGCATTGACATCTATCTCCTTGTCACCTTTTTTGAATGCTCTCTACCCGTGACTAAATTATTTTGCATACAAACAACTCTTTTGAAAGAGAAAAAAACTACGTGTATCATCTTTAATTTCTATCCCCAAGTTTCATCTCTTTCTCTTCCTGTCACATCCTCTCAACAGCTCACGAGCCTCACATGCCCCACTTATAATGACTTCTCTCCTTTGATACTGTCACTTATTCTTGGTTTCATCTATGCAACCCAAAACTTGAGAGTTCCACTAATGCTCCTCCTCAACCTTCTTTGCATTGGATACGGCTTTACTTTGTCTTTTGAGATTGTCATGATAGTCCCATCAGACATGAATCACGACGATCTCAGACATGGTGAAATCGTCCCCAATGACAATACTGAATGATCGAAGACTGCTCTCTTGCCCCGAGAGGGTGGAGCTTCCAGGAGTATTCTGGAATCAAGAGGAATTCATTCAAGGGATAGATTCTTGGGTTCATCTATGCAACCCAAAACTTGAGAGTTCCACTAATGCTCCTCAACATTCTTTGCATTGTTGTTAAGCTTGTTTCTCTGGCTAATCATTCCCAACTCCTAGCTTCAAGCTACTTGAGTTCCATTTCCATATCTTTGTTTGTCTTTTCTTCTTAGTCAAGCTTATGCATGAATGACATGATGATTTACATGGTTGTCATGCACTGCGAATTTACTTTCTATGACAAATATGGCTTAAGATGGATTTTAATTTGCTGAAATTATTATTATTTTCTAAATGAGAGCATGCATCTAGATCATAGAAACCATCCCCTGTTTATTTATTTCCCATTCAGGGCCTTAGGGGTAGGATTTTGAAACTCCAGTTACTCCACTTAAAATGTCAACTCTTTTGAGCAACTCTTGTAGTTTTAAAGAATTTGATTGAAAATGCCATACTTTTCCATTATTTGTGAAATTTTATCCTTTTTTGTTGCTTAGGGGGCACTGTCAAGTTGTTACATAGAGAATCTTTCACTTGAAAAGTGCAATCTGGTCAATGCAGGATACTATCTTTTGAGTAACATACATTTACGAGGTAAATGTCTCTAATTCTCTAAATATAATAGGGAGTATTAAACACCCATGTATGTGAAAGCTAGCTACCTGACTTGAATAATATAATCACAAAATACATGAAACCACAACACAATTTTTCTATTTTGAGATCAAATTACTAAGGGCAGAAACTTATTGACATGAAACATGATTACATGTGTGAAATGTTGTATGCAAATGGTTGGGTAAGTAAGTGAGGTTTGTTGAAAAATCTAACTTAGTCACTTACAGAGGTCCTACTATGGTCACTGACACTCTTCATGCTGCTGCTATTTTGCTCAAACATGGAGGTGATTGGGATTGGTTTGTCAGTTTGTGTGCCTCTGATTACCCTTTGATCACTCAAGATTATGGTATGTAATGTACCTTATTCTGGTTTTCCAATCCCAACAGCAACTCATTCTTTCTTTGATTCTGGGTACTTGTTTTATTATTCTGTTATTTCTATCATTTTAGTGTGAGAAAACTCACATCACTCATATTCTTGCTCATTTTTCGGTCGATGCTCTCCTATACTGCTACTTTTATTACTCCTTCCGTCCCTCTATTATTATTGGGACGGAAGAAAGTGGTGTGGTTTTTAAGAAAAGTAGAATTGTGTGGTTGTTAATGAGTTGATAAAGTGAGAATAAAGTAAGAATGAATTAGAGTCATACAAATGTTATCAAATATGGTATGGGACAGGGGACATCCAAAAATGAAAAAATGGGACAATAATAAGAGAACGGAGGGAGTACTATTTATTAATGAAAATCAGTGGCGGAACCAGAGACTAATTTGAGCACGTGGCACGATTATTAAAAAAAGTGTGTTTGTATGATTGATATAAAATTGATAAAGTTAAAATAAAGTAAGAATGATTTAGAGTTACACAAATTTTAACAAATTTGGTATGAGACAATCTTAGTGAGACTTCCTGAAAAGGTAAAATGGGACAATCATAGAGAGACGGAGAGAGTATTTGTTTTACATCTTTTTTATTAGAATAAAGGAAAAACAAGTGAAAATTAAAGTAATCATTTGATATATAGCGTGCATTTCCAATAAAAAAGTTGCTCCGTGAATAGTGCGAACAATTGCACATTTTATTAAATTTTCAACAAGTTGAATGCTGATAAAATGCAGTGCATTGTTGACTGATTTTGAACCATTAGATCTCAAGTTAATCCACAAAATTTATTCTCAAAACTCTTTTTATTTGACCCAAATATTATACAGTATATATGTATATATAGTGTTCTTCAAATAAAAAATAGTATTATGCTAAGAAAAAAGTAAATAGTTATGTTAAGTTTAAGTATATTGAGAATTATTCTTGATAATTTACAAGTTAATCCGCATTATTTGAAGAAGGAAGAAATGATTAAAAACTCTTCAATTTATTTTATGGCTTGAAATTATATAAATTATGTTATAAATTTAATTTTGAGGCCATTGAATTAAAAAAGGAAACCTGCATATCATATGCGAAGAAAGAAAAAGTGACAAATAATATGTATCAAAAAAATAAGAATGTAAAGTAAATGATATAGAAATCTAAAGTGTGATATAATCAATGTTATACCTAGGTGATTTAATTTAAGAAAATTACTAGAGTCATATGTCTAAAAATTCAATAAAGAATTAGAAAAGTGGCCGGAAGGCATATAAAGTACTTGTACTACGTATATGTCAAATGGAGTAGAAGAGTCGTATGGTAAAGTTAAATCCGGAGTATTGACGTAGCTTAAATATGAAGAAGCATAAAAAAAAACAGTTTACCTAGGGTGCCAGTTTGTTGTTTTTGCTTTTTTTTTTTATGAAATGTAAATATATATTAACACTCAAGAAAACTATATGTCAACTGTCAAGTATCCCAGATCTCCTAACCCCCCCCACACACATAATATAGGGATGAAAGGAGGTTTTTATTCGATCTAATCTATGCCAAAAGGACCAAGTATAAATACTTGTCCCATCAAAATTCAAAAATATACATCGATGCTGCACATGCACGCACACAGATCATAAGGTTCAAATCATAACAAAATACAAAAGTATTGCAAGTTCCACACACCCTACGTCTAAAACACTGCTTCATGCCGCGTAATCCAAGATGCCTATGCCGCAGTATCTCATGTGCCCCAGCCGCGACATCCAAGAGGTCCATGCCGCGGCATCCAGAAAATCCATGTCGCAGTGACACAGTGTACAGTGTGACCATACCGTGGTATACATATCGTGGCCTCCCGCTTGATTTTGGCCCACTCAAAAGTTTATCAATTCATATGGATAGATACTATAGAGTATCTTATAGACGATATGCTTAATCTTGGCTATAACGTCCTCCTCAGTCTTCTTGGCATCATCAAAGCGGATCTCATTTCTTGCATGCCATATGTAATACTCCACGGCGCATAGAGCAATTCGGGCCGCCTTTGCTTTCAACGTTGATCCTTTGTGCTTCTTCGAAATCCATTTGATTGAGCTAAGCAATGTAGACATTTGATGCCCAAATCCCATCCATTCTCGAATCTTGCCCCATACCCTACAAGTAAATGGACATAGGAAGAATAGGTGTGGAATTGATTCCAATCCACCCTTACACAAGTCACATCTATTAACCATATGGAGATAACCGAGGCTATCTTGGGTAGGCAACCGGTTCCTCAAAGCCAACCAAACATTAAATGAAAATTTCGGGGGGATATAAGATTTCCAAATGAAACTCATCGGAGTCCTAGGGGTCCCTTTAACTCTTAGAAGCTCGTAAACCTTGGCGGAGGCAAGTTTGCCATTAATGCTTCTAGAGTTAAGGCCCAAAATCGTATCATTCAAATTATTAAAGCATTGACAGATTTTATCTCTAATTTGCCCCAACCTCTTCATCAATTGTGAGTCACGACTGTGTGGGATAAAATCCCACACACTTCTCCCATGGAGATATATGCCATTAACCCATCGAACCCATAAGGTATCTTTTTTGTTATGGACATCCCATAGTGTGCGAGCAAGGAGGCTATCGTTCCATATTCTAGCATTGTGGATTCCCAAGCCACCCTCCTCTTTTGGGAGACATATGTCATCCCAAGCCACCTTTGAGAACTTGCCCCCCCATAAGAAAATTCTACAAAACGAAACAATCCTATCCAACACAGTTTGTGGCACCGGGAAGACTTGGAGCCAAAACGATTGGACCCCTTGGATCACCGATCGAATTAGCTTTATCTTACCGGCATAGGAGAGTGTTTTCGTATTCCAAGCGTTAAGGAAGTCTTTGACCGTATCTAATAACGGTGCGTATTGCACAACCGATATTTTTAAAGGGGCAAAGGGTATTCCAAGGTATCTAACCGTTGCATTTGATCAGTTGCACTCAACCCGTGACATATGTTGTCATTACGCATATCTATTACTCTATTTTAAAACAACGAAGGGCCGGGTGCATCCGTGCATGTGCATCTATATAGATAGTATACTACTACGTATTGCTCTAGCTAGCCAATCTCCTCCATCCATCCTTTACTTTATCTTAGTGGTCGTATTTCTTTTTCTTTGTTTACATGATGAACAGGCTTGCTACAATAGAATAATAACGAGTACTAACTACTAATGATGCAAGTCACAACACCCAGATGCAAAGACATCATCTTCAAAGGGCCATCAAGTTTCACAACAAATACAACCAGAATCTCTCAACAAATGTCGGGGTACCTACAAATTTTCATTGTTAACTCTTCACTGTGTGTTTTGCATTTTGTCTTGTACTTTTCACATTGAACTCTGTTTTTGTACTTTAATCTTTTAATAAATTTGTAAAGTGTTTCCCGACGCTTTCCCCACACCCAGTGGCTACTCCGAAAAAAAACTAACTACTAATACATGGGTTAAATTTACAATTGAGTATCATTCTTTCTTCTTGCTCTTCAATTCTTTCTTTTTCATTTCAAGTCAAATTATTATTTTATACAAGAATTTCATCGCAGTATTCTTTCTAAAGTCAGAATAATTTGCTTCCGTTTTTGCTCAAGGAATAGTTTTTCAAGGTTGAAGGCACTCAAAAAGAGGTAAACTTGTATTCCTTTTATTATGTAAGTTTTATTTAGGAAACCAATTAGTTTTTTTTAGCCGGAAGACAAATCACCAAAATGACTGGGGTAAATGTCGGAGAACATTTACCAGAGCTTTATTAAATAGAGTGCTGGTACAAATAGAAAGGGGACTAGACCAAAACCCCTTCGGAGGAAGGCATACCTCCTCAAAATACAGAACAAATATAGAGTGTTGGGCATCACTTGGAGTTTGGATTGGTAGTATTTCTCCTCAAACAGAAAAAAATAATAACAAATATTATAATTCTTTCTCTATGTGGTAAGTAAATGACCTGGAAAATTGAGTATAATTCGGGAGTTGGGAAACCAATTAGTATACTTACATATGTACTACTAGTACTACGTACTTATATGTTGGACGGCGGTTCCTTCCAGCTCAGGTCTCAATCTTCATCCACAAAGGATGATAAACCACTAAGAATCTAAAGGGGAGAATTGGACATCAGCCTTCAACCTTATTTCCGGCCAAATTGATTCTGCCTCCACTGAGGAGCAGAGGGATGAGGTGCGTGAATAGAGTATCGGCCAACTACAATTGGCAGAGAATAAAGGGAATAAATAGGCCAAGAATAATCTCAAAGACGGTAACTTTCCTTACCAGGGAGATTCGCAATTAATCGAGCAAAGCAGGCGGAGGAAAGAAATCGTCCAGGCCGAGAAGATGAAGAGCGAACGGGTAGAAAGATTTAAGAGATGGACCGGGTGCAACCATAACAATATTGGTCTTAAGGAAAAAATAAGTGGGCCAATACCAACATTATATTATCATATTCCTTTGTATTCAACTAGTCTTCATATAATTAATGAGTTCTCTCCTTTGATATTGTGAAGGACTAGCTAGCTATTGTGAAATGGATGCAGGAAATGGGTTTATGGACATTGCTGGAGGGATGTCTGATCCTTGCCAATGCATTGGCAAAATTATGTTGAATGAAAGACCGCTTTTGAATACATGAGAGTTCCAGTAATGCTCAACATTCCTTGCATAGTTGCATTGTCGTTAAGCTTGTTTCTGCCTTCAAGGTACTTGAGTCTCATATCTTTGTTTGTCTTTTCTTCTCAGTCAAGCTTATGAAGTGAGAAATATTTTATTACTTTCGTCTAAAATGATCATCTATACTAATTTCATCTATACTAAAATGGTCATCTATATTAATTTCGGCTAATTCAGACATGAAAATAACTTTAATCATATTTATTTTGATTATAATATAGTTCAGCACGCGAAATAAAAAATTACGTACTTCATATTTAATAAGAAAATGGGTTAAACCATATATATTTATTTTGATCATATGGGTCCATCTATCACTTTTTCTTAATATTTGAGCCTAAAAAGTATAAGACCATCAATTTGGGATGGAGGGAGTATTATTTTAAAAAGATGTTTCTATAATACTCCTTCCGTCCCATTTTAGTTACGTTAACCAAACACTATTTTTCAAATCAATGGTGTCAATTTTATAAGTATTGATAATATGAAAAAGATATAAAAATGATCTTTGCCAAAGATACTACTATAAGTGTATAAAGTTATTAAATTTAAATAAGTATATATATTTAAATTATTAATCAAAGCTTAGCATTTCTGATTTGAAAAGTCAAATATGTCTAACTAAATTGGGGTGAGGTAGTATTAGGTAATATTAACCATAATTATTTCATCATATCGCTTCAATTAATAGTCCTTTATAGGAAATAATGCTGAGAATAACTTCATATCTTCCTTTAAAGTTTAAGGGGGTGTTTGGTTAATGGCCTATCAGCCATTTTTTAGTTGATTTGAACAATATTGGCCTTTTGACCTAATCAATCGGCTAATATGTGTGTTTGGTAAAATAGCTTTTTAAGTTGGCCTTTGACATAGTGTAATTCTCTGCTTTTATGGTTCTTATCATAGCCATTCTAAACGATGGAACCATCATGACAATCTCAAAGGATAGAGTAAAACTGTCACCATTACCAGATAGTTGGAAATTGAAGGAGACTTTTTCCACTGGTGTTGTTCTTGGAAGTTATTTGGCATTGATGACAGTGGTCTTCTTCTGGATTATGCATGTTTAATCCAAAATAAATATGATTAAAGTTATTTTTATGGTTAATATTACCTAATACTACCTCACCCCAATTTAGTTAGACATATTTGACTTTTCAATAATTTAAGTATATATACTTATTTAAAAGTCGGTATCATGCCTAATCCAGAAGAAGACCACTATCATCAATGCCAAATAACTTCCAAGAACAACATTTAGGTTAATATGAGCCAAATAACCACCTATTTAAAAATCAATGTCATTATATGACTGTAATATGAGCCAAATAACCACCTATTTACCTCCCACTCAAAGTGATGAGTGTCAACAACAAAACCAACACTACTAGCAGCTTATTATCAGATGAGGGGCCCATTGGTGGTGGACGGTTCTCTAGTGCAAAGTCGAAGTGCTCGTTCGACTGTCTCATTAGCTGTCTTTGCGCGCAGTGTCCCTGTCATGGCCCCCCTCCCCCTAGCTGATCGATCAAATGATGAAGGTGGATTGATGGGATCTGGAACCTCTGCCATACTTCAAAGTAAGGAACGGTGCCAGGCCCTCAGGAACCATCCGATCAAAAGATGGACGGTCGGAGATGTTGAAGCGCAGATCTCGAGGCCGCTCTTCCCCCATCCGACGGTCCTCTGCGCGCAAGGCACTCTGCCGTGCGGCAGAGGATCCCAATCCGGATTGATGGCGAACCTTTGGTGCCGGGGATGTAGTGTAGAATAATTAATTGTTAGCCAATATTATTAATCATGCAAAGTCCATGCATTATTATCCTCACACGGTCACCACTTATGTTAATTATACTATATTTCAAATATATATTAATTGTACATATTATTGGTAGTATTTATCCCTTAGGCGGTTGACCGAGTGTTTAGCTCATACGGCTCCAACTAATAATGTATCTGGACTCATTCTTGTACACATGATTAGATAGATAGAATAGATAGAGTTTGTATGCAATTGTAATACTCGATGTACGTAGCCTATTAATAGGTGATTCAATAAACGATCATCACCACGGTGAATTTGATATTCCAACTTGGTATCAGTAGCTTTTTCTTCCTCTCTAATGGCTACCACCAAAGCTTCCGCCTTTCACCCCGCCCTAGCTATCTCAAACATTAAAAATTTTATTCCTATTACCCTCGACATCGAGAACGTTGAATACTCTTCATGGGCGGAGTTGTTTAAAATCACCGCCCGCGCGTATCAAGTTCTCGACCATATCATCCCTACTGTTGATTCTACTGCAGCCAGTTCCTCTACTTCTACTGCTGAACTCACTACCGCAGAGCTTCTCGCTCAAGCCACTGCCAAGGCAGAGGCAGCTGCTCTATGGACCCGTTTGGACGCCATAGTTCTTCAGTGGATCTACGGTACAATATCTCATGACTTACTCCACACCATTATTGAACCGGACGCCACTGCGCAGGGGGCTTGGGACCGCCTCACTGATATTTTCCTTGACAATAAACATTCTCGGGCTGTGCATTTGGAAAATTTGTTTTCCAACACCCGTTTGGAAAATTTTCCCAACGTTGCAGCGTATTGTCGTACTCTCAAAACCCTGGCTAATCAGCTACATAATGTTGGTGCCACGGTTTCCCCCGACCGCCTTGTTCTCCGCCTAGTCAACGGTCTTCCCGCTCAGTACGACACCATCGCGTCCATGATTCAACAGGCCACACCTCTGCCTACCTTCCAAACTGCCCGGTCCATGCTCCTGCTTGATGAAACCCGTAAGGCACACCAACTTGGCACTTCCTCGGCCAGTGCACTACTCCATGGTGCGTCGTCACAGTCTCCCTCTCCTCGCCCAGGTCAATCCAGCCGCGGTGGGCGTGGTTCTTCTTCTGCCCGACGAGGTCGTGGTGGTCGTGGTACACCTCGGCCCGACCCCACTCCCACTGCATGGAACCCCAATGCTTGGATGTCACCACCGCCATGGGCCTACTGGATGCCGCCGTCACCTTGGGCCATGCCACCATGTCCTCATCCGTCTGCTCCTTGGACTGCTCCCTCACCACGCCCTACTTCCGGAGCAGGTATTCTTGGTGCTCGGCCAAACCAGGCCCATCTCTCGGGTCCGGCTCCGGCTCTAACCGATATTAATGCCGCCATGCATACCATGACACTCGCACCACAGCCGGATGACAGTTGGTATATGGACACTGGGGCCACATCACATATGACCTCCAATTCGGCTAAACTCACGTCTCTTTCTAATTTAGGTACTAAACAATTCATTATGGTCGGCAAAGGTAATACCATACCCATTTCGGGTCTTGGCAAAACCACTTTAGCCCCCCCCTCATCCCCCCTTACAACTACATATTCATGCCCCGTCCCTCATAAAAAATCTTATTTCCGTTCGCCGTTTTTCTACCGATAATTCTGTATCTGTTGAATTTGACCCCGTTGGTTTTTCTGTGAAGGATCTCCACACGGGCACAGTTCTCATGAGATGCAATAGTTCGGGTGACCTCTACCCCATTCAGCCTCACATATCCAGACCGGCTCACTCAGCTTTTCTCACTACCTCGGCGACTACTTGGCACCATTGGCTATAGGGCTGGGACTTTGGAACCAAGAACCGGAGAACCGAACCGGACCGAACCGTTATGACCCGGTTCGGTTCGGTTCCGACATTTATTAGTTATTTGTTAACGGTTCGGTTCCTAATTTTTATTAACGGTTCGGTTCTCGGTTCCTGAAAAAAAATATGTACCAGGAACCGTTAAGAAACCGTTATATATAATAATTAAAATTAAATATATTTTTTATGAATATATATATTGTAATGTATATTTACTTATTTATTTTTATATTATATTCATTATTTTAGTTTAGTTATTTAACTATTTAAAACTATTATTTATTTCAACCGGTTCTCTTAGGCTTCTTAGGCCTCTCATTAGGTCCAAACTCCAGCTGGTCGGAACTCGGAAGGTCCAGAGTATTTAAAATTATTATTCTCTTTAACTGGTTCAGCATATATGTATTGAGATTTTGAACGTTGAATGTCTTTTTGGCAAAAATTTAGTCGTGATTTGTAAGAATTTTTTCAAAGACTAGGAACCGTTAAATGACAAGAACCGAACCGTTAAGAATGGTTCGGTTCCTTATCGGTTCTTTAAAATAATTTATAAGAACCGAACCGTTAGTAAAATTTCATATTTTCAAACGGTTCCACATATTTTGCCTAGGAACCGAACCGGTCCCGGGCCGATTCGGCTAGGTCATCCCGGGGACCCCGTTTTTAGTTTTCTTAGAACAAATAAAACTATTCCTTGTACTTCTCTTAGTAAATCTTTATGTATTTCGTGTGAACTTGGCAAACATAAAAAATTGCCATTTTCCATTTCTCATTCTGTTACTTATTCCCCATTTGAAATAATACACAGTGATTTGTGGACCTCTCCTGTTCTTAGTTCTACTGGTCATCGGTATTATTTAATCTTTGTTGATGATTATACGAAATATGTTTGGGTTTTTCCCTTAACCTCTAAATCCCAAACGTTCCCTACTTTTGTTAATTTTCATGTTTATGTTCGCACTCAATTTGAACGTACCATTAAAATTTTTCAATGTGATAACGGGAAGGAATTTGATAATTCTGCATTTCGCACATATGGACAAAAACATGGCCTCCATTTTCGTTTTTCATGTCCCTACACTTCTCCCCAAAATGGTTCGGCCGAACGATATATTCGCACTATAAATACTATTGCTCGGACTATATTAATTCATGCCGCTGTCCCTGCCCATTTCTGGCCTCACGCCATCCATATGGCCTCCTACCTCCATAATATACTTCCTAGGAAACCTCTCAATTTCCTATCACCCACTCACCTCCTCTATCACAAAATGCCCACGTACGACCATCTTCGCGTATTCGGGTGTCTTTGTTTTCCCCACCACCCCTCGGTTACTATTCACAAACTTCAGCCCCGCTCTACCCGTGCGTTTTTCTTGGTTATCCTTTAAACCATAAAGGATATAAATGCCTTGATATTCGTACTAGTAAAATCATAGTTTCTCGTCACGTCACTTTTGACGAAAGTGTTCTTCCATTTAGAAATACCCACCGGCCCACCACACCCACATACAATTTTTTAGATGACCCACACCCCATGCTCCGTCTCTTACCTATATTATCCGAAACCCATTCCCCAACTCCCACTTCGGTTCCACCAATAGCCCCACCAACCACACACATCTACACCTTCCCCAACATTTTCTGCCAACACTCCATCTGGCTCGGTCAGCCCTCCACATTCTTCCTGTGACACTCCAAAAAAAAAATTAATAAAATAAAAAGTAAATTGTATTAATGATAAAGTAAAACCTTTTCCATATGCATATTGAGTATACATAATTAATACGAAGTATGTATAGCTCATACATGTATGTAACACACATGCATGTAACGTATTATTACGTATAATAAACCTTATACGAGTAGTAATTAACAATAAAGCCTAAGCACAATATTAACACACATATACATGCGGACGAGGCTAGAAGACCAACGGCTGAAGCTTTCGAAATGTTTTTAACGGCTGAATAATTACTATAGAACTATACGGAGTATAATAGAATATACATACATATATATAATCATAATCATAATAAATAATAAATGAGGACTTGTTAAACGTACGAAACCCTAGAACTAGAACATTCCTGAGCATGTATATATACGAGTCTACGATCGACAGAGCCTCCGCACCCATGCCAAAACCTGCGAAGAATATGAATCGCCTTACTACCGTCTCCGTCGAGAGAGAAAAAGAGAGGAAAGACAGATCGCTACAGTCGTCGTAGCTGCTGTCGAGTCTGGCTGAACCGCCGTGTAAAGGAGCTCACCGGAAGAGAAGCTTGCGTGCCGGTCGGAGGAGGAAGCCTGATCATTGATTGCCGAGTTAGGAATGAATCTCCGCCTGCCAACTTCAACGGAAGAAAGAACACCACTGACGCCCTTGTCTTGAGCGTTACCGTATACGGGGGAGTACAATGAACCGGATTGCTTTCACGCCGGACAAGGAAACTGACTGAACTACTTTCTGGAGCACGGTGTTGGTTCGTACAGCACCGCAGGACGAGCTGCCGTGGCCGTGGCTGTTGAAGAAAGAGCTGCATCCTCCCTGTGGTTGCCGGTGCCGGACTTGGAGAAGACGATCGACTCCCCGGCCTGTTCGTACGTAATTCAAACTCCGTATTATGTCTTGGGCTGTGTTATTTTAGATTGAGTCTGGTACTTTTCATAAACTAGCCCGCATACTTTCATGATGAAAATGCACCATTACGAATGGACTATTATTATGACTAATTACTATTGAAACGATAAAATCATAGAGAGGGGATATAATTAAAGGGTAGATGAATTTAAATAGTTGATATTCAAATATTGATTGGTGAATTCTAAATAAAAGGTGAACTTGAGTGAGGAGCAAAATAGAAGAATTTCGCTAGGAGTACTTGGAGTTTGAGGTAAGTTTCATTGCAACCAAAATTATACCTTTTACCTCGTAATTATTTTGAATGTTTTAATGTACAATTTGAGTAATGTATTTATGTGTATTAAATTTGAGTAAATGTTATTCTATATGAAATTGTTTGTACTTAATATATTAGTTTGTTATTATTGGATTTTGATACAAGTTATTGTATATGATTTTTGGGAGATTTTCTATTGGTGAATATTTTGGTGTTGTTGTGAGTAAATTGGATTTTGAGAAAATGTATGAGAATTTTAGCGTATTTTGAAGATACGGACTTTTGATTGGATTTTGAGAAAACAAAGAAAAGTTAATATTTTTAATGGTGACACTAATGTCTATAAGACATAAATGTTGATTTTTGGAAAGACAATATAAAAGACTGTTTTCATAATTGGGGCACCACGGGAGAAATCCGTAGGTGTCGGGCCACCTTCACGTCCGTTAATGGTGAGGGAGGGTTAGGACTACTACTACTTGAATTGAGAGGTGTGAAACAAATTAAATGAATTTTGGAGGGTTCGGTAACCACCCCGAACAACTGGGCATCAGATCCCTTTTTATTAGAGCAGTAGTAGTAGTACCTATTCTCTTAAGGGTCTTTGAACCTAGAACTTAGGGAGTATATCCCATTTGGAGTAGGGAGACGTTGACGTCAGAACTACTTAGACTTCATACTACTCGGAGGGCTTGGAATCCCTTTAGGGGGTGTGCACACTTAAGGTAGAAGTCTAGATTCTAATAGAGGAGATCAGGTACCGAGAGCAAATCGGAGTGACCGTACAAAACAACGGATCACTGGGCTCAAGAATCGAAATAACGCTTGAGCACCGCCCTTCTAAATGAACTAGGAGAATTAACTATAAAGCTATTTTGAGGTAAATCAAATGTTTTTGTATTTTACTCTTAAAGAGTTTGTTAAATGCTTTGGAGAAATTATTCCTTTCAATACTTATAAGAGTTATTACCGAAATCTTACTATTTGGAGAGTGATACTTATTTTCAAAAAGTACAAACGCTTTTGGATGTGATTGGATTGGATTTGAGGTTAGTTGAATCCTTTTATTAATTGTGAATTTCTAAAGTACAAATATTGTGATATTGGTTTGGAAAATATATTTGTGGATATTGAATATGTGTTTTGTAAGGATTGTGATAAAGTGCTTATGAGTTTTGAGATGGATATTTGGAGTTTGTATATGATATATGATTGGAAATATTTATGAGGATTTTTATTACATATCTAATGTTGGAATTATTATGATTTGGAATATTGTTATTTTACATATGAATTATGTTATGAGAATTTACTATAAATATTGTTTTACTTATGATTGGTACGAATGTTTTGAAAAGATTTTCCTCCCAAATGTTTTGCAAAAATTATATATATGTATCAAACGTGATTATTTTACGGGGTTGGGTGGGACTTACTTAGCATTTCCGGCTAATTTTTGTTTCTTTGTTTTTCTTTCTTTTCCTGTACTTTATTTGTGCAGGAGATAAAGCTTGAGTATCTATTTGATGATGATGTTGATTCGAGAGCTTCCGCTAGAGAAAATGTAATTAGTAGATAACATTGTAGTTTAATTTAATTTTTAAGACGCTTATTGAGTTTAATTGTTTTTGTGGTGATTAGCCTGTGCACTCGGTTAGGTTAGAGCCGAGTGTGGCGGTAACGCCCCTATTTCCCTTTTGATTTCCGCTGCAAAACTTTGATGTTTTCAAATAAAGTTGATATTTCTTCTGAATAAAGTATTATTTTCGGGTGGGAAATTTGGGGTGTTACACTTCCAACACCCATCCTCATCTTATCCCTTCCCAAAATAATATCCCTTCCCACCAAAATAATATCCCCCTTCACGTTCCATGCATGCCCCATGCAACCAACCCGTATCCCAAACTTCTTCCCATCCCATGCAAACCCGAAGCCGTGCCGGGATTCACAAACCAAAACAAATATTCACCTTAGCCGTTTCATCAACACCATCTCCACTGCCCCGGTCTCCTATCACCGCCCTCCAAGACCCAAATTGGAAAGCCGCCATGGATGATGAGTTTAGTGCCCTCATTAAGAATGAGACTTGGGAGTTAGTTCCCCGTCCCCCTAACTCCAATATTATTCGTTGCATGTGGTTGTTTAAACATAAATACAGGTCTGATGGTGTTTTGGAACGTCACAAAGCTCGGCTCGTCGTCAATGGCAACTCTCAACAAGTCGGTGTAGACTGTGATGAAACTTTTAGCCCGGTTGTTAAACCAGCTACTATCCGACTTGTCCTCAGCATTGCTCTCTCTCACTCTTGGTCGCTACATCAACTTGACGTCAAGAATGCCTTTTTACACGGTCGGTTAGAGGAAACTGTGTATATGCATCAACCGCCGGGCTACCGCGATCCATTGCGGCCTCAACATGTTTGCCGTCTTTTGAAATCCTTATACGGCCTCAAACAAGCTCCTCGAGCTTGGTATCACTAGCTCGCTTCTCATCTTGCTACGCTCGGATTTACTCATAGTGCATTTGACCACTCTCTCTTCATTTATCATAGCGGCCGTCACACTGCATATCTCCTTCTCTACGTGGACGACATTATTCTTACGGCTTCATCCGACGACTTCCGCAAATACATTATCTCTCAACTGGCCGCCGAATTCTCCATGACGGATTTGGGTCCGTTGACATATTTCTTAGGCATTTCAGTGACTCGGCATTCCTTCAGGTTGTTCTTATCACAATCCACTTATGCTCGTGACATTCTACGCCGTGCCGGCATGGTGGATTGCAATCCCGTTAGTACTCCTGTTGACACCCTAGCTCGCAGACGACGAATGCTCCAGCTCCTTCGACGAATGTTCCAGCTACTTCGTAAAAATTGATACACGAACAAACTAAGCTTCAGCTCCTTCGAAGAATGCTCTCCTCTTGCTCGCTGAACCAGAGAGAATCATCGGCGACGACGACTCCAAGTTTAGGGAACACCGGCCAACTTGAGAAGAGAATGTATTAATCAGCCATTTCTTCGATTTTTTTTTTTACTTGAATGCACTTAATGTTTACCTTTTCACCCTCACCTCGTTAACTAATGAAGAAATTCAGGATTGTGTAGTTTATTTTGATTTTCGGGCACTAGTCATGTTCTTAATTTCTACAGTTTTACATGTACTGCACTCTCCAGATTTTGCCTGACTCGTCCTCGCTAAACCAGGGATATTCATCGGCGAAGACACTACGTTCAAGGCACACCGGCCAACTCGAGAAGAAGGTATTAAGCAATCATTTGTGTGTTTCTTTGATTTTTTTTACTTGAATGAACTTAATTTGACCATTTCACTCTCACCTTGTTAATTTTCTGCTGAAATTGAGGATTTGTAGTTTATTTTGATTTTCGGGCAATGTTCTTGCTCTTAATTTCTACTGTTTTGTATATACTGTGCTGATTTGCATTTAGTAATAAAATATTCTGAAATTGGAGTCCCAATTATGTAGGCATGCATCAATTGCCTGAGTTGCGTGTTTTCGTTAGTGGGTTATATGTATTCCGTGTTTCGTACTGCTTCGTCCCTGCATTCTCACTACTAAGATGTTGCATGCTAAGAAACTTTTGTTCTTTTAAACTCTATTGTTTGTTGATTTTCTGTCTTTTGAGGAGTTCTTATTCTAAATGATCTCAAACTGTGATACTTACTATGTTGGCATGAGTGATGTGTGGTTTTAAAAGCTAGTAGGGTTATGCGGTTAGTTTATATCTGGTTGTTAATTAAATCCTTCTATTGTTCTACACTCGTTTTTCGGCAAAAAATTGAAATATGCATTTAGAAATTGGTCCAAATGCACCAATCTCCCTCTATTTTTTATAGTATAAAAACATAAATGTGTATTCATGTCTAGTAGTGCTATATTGGCATATACTTAGAACGATTATGTCAAACATGTAAGGAGCAACCAACAATCTGAGATGAGTTACTCTAACGAAATAACTGAATTTTGTTATTTCAGTTCTGTATTTCATGATTTCATGTTTACTTTTGAGTAATAAAGATTCTCTTTGTTGTTATTTGATAACATACCCTCTAAATATTCAGGTTTATTTTTATATTGACTCTATTAGGTTATTAATTGTAAGAAACCAGCAAAGTGAGTTTCAAAATAGCATGCCAGTAAGCATATTTACCAATTTATTTTCATTACTGATAGCAAAACTAATTTATTTTCATTACTGATAGCAAAGTAAGAAAAAGCTAGTCACACCTTACTTCTTTAATGATTTTTTAGTTTGAATTCTGTTTTCTAATCTGAAAAAAGAAAACAATATATTTCAACGATACTACTGTTTGAATAGTGCTACTTTTCTAGGATACAGTGAGCCATGTCAACTGTTCCAGAAAATATTGATGAGTTCGATGATGATGTTGAGGACTTCACTAAGGAGTGTGTAACGAGGCCAAAGAGGAGACAGAAAACGAAGAAAAAAATGTTGCTGCAGAAAGCTACTGATGACAGAATCATGGTGGAGGTGAATGCATTTGGTGTTCATTGTGGTGATGGTTGGACAAACCTAGCTAACTACTGTGGCGTCTTGGTGAAGGATTATGTGTCGATTCTCTATGACGACTGGCGACATGTACCTGATAAAGTAAAAGATGAGTTGTGGGAACATCTTCTGGTATGCAATAATCAAATTGTATTAGAATGGAATTTTATGATTTTTTTTAAATTTTGTATATCGACTTTACTGATTGTGTTATATTTATTCTTCCAGAAACTGTTTGTGCTGACTTCAAGGTCTAAGAAGCAAGTTTTTGCCACTATGAGTGTTGCTTTGAGACAATTCCGGTTCACTCTACGGAGTGATTTCATCTTACCACATATGGATGACTTCACGAAGCTAAGATATCCTCCTGAAGAGTATAAGCATATTCGCACTGACGAGTGTTGTCTTTGTGAAAAAGACTTTCACAGAAGAGTTTCAAGTAAGTATCAGTAGCAATAATGTATTAGAATGTATTACTTCAATCCTTTGTAGGTACTGCCCTAACATAATCTTAATCCAATCCTTTGTAGGTAAAGAATCAAAGAGGAAAAGATATAAGGAAAAAGAACAAGTATGACCTTCTTACTCAAGAAGAAGGTTAATTTGAATATGCATAATGATTACATAATGAAAAACACTTTAATTATGTTAAGCAATCATATATCTTTCCTTAAGTTTGTCTTCTATAGTTTTAATTATTTAAGTATTTATGTTTGTAATGTGATAGGAAAAGGAGCTTGGAGCTAATGTCATGGACATTGATCGAGTGGATACATGGGTATGGGTCCATCAGGGCAAAGATGGAGAATTTGATGATGAAGTGAAAGCTATTGTAGAAAAAATACTAAGTCTATCTAACTGACATTTTAAATCGGGTTTATTTTAAAGCTAGTGAAAGTAAATATAAGCTTTTCACATTTATAAGTGGACACTAATGAATACTTTGACATGCCAAAACCATGCATGTCTGAGAAGCAAAAAGAGAAAAGCATTTGTGAAAAGAGATATGAGATGATAGTAGAACAACTTCGTGATATGAAAGCACAGTTCAGTTCCTACGCCGGTAGTGACATTGGTAGTTGCAGTGTCGCAACGAAGTCCCCAAGTGGTGAAATTGGAAAACGAAAGGTTTATATTTATCTTTTGTAGTGTGTATATTTGTTAATTTAGACTTCACTTCACTAACTCCGATAATTATTTTATGATTATTTTAGGCGACTGGAGAGGTTGAAAAGCCGGTTTATACTCCCACGAAAACACATATTCATAGTCAACTTAGTACATCTCCTAGACACACCTCTGTAGAGAAAGAAGTTGTACCGCCAACAACTGGACCAAAGCCCAACAAACAGAGAAAGGACAAAAAACCAGAGGTCTTTTCTGAAAAATCACCGAAGAAGGTAAATGTTGTTTGCAGTTAGTACTATTCTCAGTCACATTTAGGATGGATAGTTTTACTCATTCAATTACAGTTAGTAACATGATGAATTGTTTTTCCCAGGAAGTTGAAGTTGATGACATGGGTTGGCTAGAAGAGCCCGAGGCAGTCCACTTTGGTGCAGATGAAGAACAACAATGCACCAAAACTAAGAAGTTTCAAAGGTGCACTCCAAAGAAGATTGAAACAAATCCCCAGCTTCCCAGAAGATCCCTGCGACACATATTAGACAAGACTGACACACCATTTAAAGGTGTAAAGGAAGAATTGGGGAATGATGACGTGGAAGTGGTGAAAGTCAATAGGCCTCAAATGAAAAAGAAAAGTGCTCCAGTCAGGAAGCTTACTATGCAACGAACAACAAGGTCCATAGCAAAGAAAAGAAAAGAACAAAGCCTGAACATGAAGGTCTTAAACTGTGATCAACTGTGCCGCATAGTGATCAATTGTGAGAAGGTCTCAACTCTGTGATAGAAATTTGGTGCAAGTAAGTGTCTAGCAAATACATGAATCTGCCTTGGGAATTTTTAGTACAAATTTCACTGTTTTTTTTATTTGCAGGAACCTTTATGAAAAAATGATGGAAGATGGAGGGGAAATGCCTGTCCAGTTTGGTACATCAGCTGCGATACCACGTCCAAGGAGACCATCTCATGATTCCATCACAAGGAGGTCCCAATACATATCAGAACTTTTGGGCATCGTTTACTTGGACAATCACATTACTCCCGTACAATTCAGGGTGCGTTTTCTGTAAAAATTGCCTCTGGTCTAGACATAGAGTACGAATGAGAATGTCAGGGAGGAGACACAATCAGAAAATCCAGATTTTCAAGGAATGATAAAGCCACAATAAAGAGAATAAAAAATAATATTAATTATAATGATATTAATAATAAAACTTACAGATTTATTTAGAGTGAATGCTAAAGCTAGCAGAGTTGTGGGAGTGCAATCGGTTCACGGAAGAATTAATGGGAAGACCCGAACAGAGGAAGGTGAACAAGACAACTCAAATATATAATTAATTATCGAACGATTAAAATAATAATGAAAGGAAAGTTGTTAAGTACTTAACGTTTATTCATGGTGATGTAGTTCTCTGGTGTTAAAGAGTATTCCGAACAAGATATTTTAGAAGTACGTGAAGAATGAGTTGCTTATGCAGTGACTTTGGTGAAAGAGTATGTGCATGATTTCAGTTTTCAAATAATTGTTCAGATTCAAACTCGATGAATGGGTCGGGCCGTGTTACATTCATGTACCCCTAATAATTTTTTCTCTTTGCAGAGATCAGTGACTTGTTCAATGGACACTGAAGGAGTTGTTTTGAAGGAACCCGACCATTTGACAAACCCTTTGATGAAGAAGCTGTTTTTGGCCTCTTTGTTGAAGGATATGTTTTTGGCATGGATACGTTTGGACATGTTTGTTAAACTATAAATGCCTTTAATGTATTGTTACATGATGAAGTATTATAGCTGTAGCTAAACTAAGCTTAACTAAGCTTGTATTGTTAGGAACTTTAATGTTCTTAGCTAAGTAAGAGCAGTCATTTTGAACATTGTTGGGCTGTTTATTACTTTGACTTGTCATTCTATAAAGTCATTTGAATATTAGTGGGATGCAATGAATTACTTGTTAAACAGTTGAAATGTGAATTAAGCATTCAAATATATTTCTATTATTTGAATGAGTTTTATAAAAGAAATATCTAAAAAATTGAATGCATATTTGAGGTCTTAAACTCTTAATGTATGATACTACAGTGTCATCAAGATTTATGATGCTATGGTGTCATCAAATGTTTGACAGAATGTGTTAAAAAGTTTTTGTTAAATATGTATCACCAGATTTTGTAACACTAAAATGTCAGAAATTTGTGACACTTCATCTGTGACGGAGTAAATTTCTGCCAAGTTTCGCATTACAAGACTTTTAACATGACATTTGTTTTTCCAAATTTTGCAGATTACTCTTATTTAGAGAATAAAAAACATGATACTCCTATTTAAGAATTTTAAAACTTTTTTACACCTATTTAGGGAATTTTCTCTATGTGAAATGCATTAGTTTTTTTAATAAGGTAATTTATAATTTTACCGTGTAAGTTTGTCTATTTATTTGTATTTTTTTTGAATGGTTATTTATTTGTTTAAAAGTAATACCGTGATATATTTTAAAATGAAAAATAAACACTTTGATTTTTTTAATAACAAAACATTGCATATTTAATTTCATTTTTTAATCCATCCGTATTGTGAAATAAATTCATCAAATGAAATACAATTACAAAAGTAGCTCTAATCTTATTTATTTTATTACACAACTCAGCGCGCGGGATAAAGAATTACGTGCTTGGTGAAAAAATGGGTGATAAGTCTGATAAGTTGAAAAAAGGGCCACCAAACAGACCATCTATAATTTTTTCTAATAGAATTTGTGTTTTGGTAGTGGGTTAAGGGAGTGTTTGCGATTGTTTCTACTTTAATCAAAGAGGTTTTTAAAAGCGATTTTGGAAAAAGTGTTTAATAATAAAAGATGGTAGTGTTTGATAAAATAAGTGTTTTTTATGTAATAGAAAAAATGAAAAACAGTTCCTAGTACCCCTAAAAATGCTTCAGGATTTAGCTTTTGTGATTAATTTAAGCAGAAACTTTTGCCCGAAAACACTAATTTCAATTTTTTAAAACAAAAAACTGAGAAACATTTTTTTTAATTTTTTACAAACACTCCTTTAAAGAGACAAGGATTGAGGTTGGGGAGGAGACTACCGTATAAAAGCTGGACGGTTATGATTTTCTTTTTCAAATCTTAAGGCTGAAAATAGGGAATGAGATGATACAATCCCTCCTTAGCCAATCAAAGAGCAGCGAAATCTGCATGCTTCCGGCCAGGGAAAAGGATTATTTGGATTAGCTAATTAACTCCGAAATACAAATACTCTCTGTCCCTAAATTTACTTCCATTTTGCTTTTCGAGAGTCAACTTAAATCACTTTTAAACTCTTACTTTTTGTATCAAAACTTTATGAAAATTGATTTTTTTGCAGGCTTTGTAGCGGGTTTAATGTAGTTTCTGAATATGTAAATTTTATTTACTAAAAATAATCCGAATTTTCACAAGGATCATTTAACTTTATTGTCGGTCAACCTTCGTAATCCGCAATTGGAACAACATTCAGAGACAGAGGGAGTACTATTAAAGCTTCTCACAAAATCCCTGCGCCCACCTGAGAAATCCGAAAGTGTAAAGGTGAAGCCCATGATTAAAGCTCCCGCATTTTGGAGTTAACCATTCGCGATAGTTCCCTTCTCCTAGGCCTGGAACCGGTTCGATTCCTAGGTGAAATGTGTGGAACCGTTTGAAAATATGAAATTTTACTAACGGTTCGGTTTTTATAAATTATTTTGTAGAACCGATAAGGAACCGAACCATTCTTAACGGTTCGGTTCTTTTCATTTAACGGTTCCTAGTATTTAAAAAAATGTTACAAATCACGGTTAAATTTGTGTCAAAAATACATTCAACGCTTGAAATTACAATACAAATATGTTGAATTTCATTTCAAACCTCAAAAGTTGAGTTTAAAAGATAAATACATAACAAACTGCAAATTTTAGAAAACAAAAACAAAACAAGATATTCGGTAAAGAAGCCCAATAAAACCAGTTAAATGAAAAATAATTTCAAATAGTTAAATAACTAAACTAAAATAGTGAATGTAATATGAAAATAGATAAGTAAATATACATTAAAATACATATACTAATAAGAAATATATATAATTTTAATTATTATAAATAACGGTTCCACGTACATATTTTTTTACAGAAACCGAGAACCGAACCGTTAATAAAATGTAGGAACCGAACCATTAACAAATAACTAATAAATTTTGGAACCGAACCGGGTCATAACGGTTCGGTCCAGTTCGGTTCTCCGGTTCTTGGTTCCAAAGTCCCAGCCCTACCTTCTCCTTTGAGAGTTAACCCGCAAATGTTCATGCCCGGGAAATCCGAATTCGACAGATAATAAGGTGAGCCGGGATCGTTAATTTTCCGTCAAATTGGATCTCCATGAGTTTGTTGCTCACCATGTGAAGAGTTCACAGTGTCGTTCGTCATGACTCTGTGCAGGGAGTTCAGGGTTTATTTCCTTGCTCTGATACCATATCAAATCAATGGGAGTGAATTGAACGTGAATGATCTGCCTTCATTCGTAAGAGGCAAGCTGTCTTATACTCCCTCCGTCCCGTTGGAATGTTCCCGGTTTGACCTACACACATATTAAGGAAATAAACTTACCAGGGGGTAAATTTTACTGTGTTGACACTGTTTGTACACTGTTTGGACACTGTTTGGCACTTGTGGACATTTAAAAATTATTGGGCCTCTTCAAATGATATCGAGCTATAATTGACCTTTTTGGGCCTCTTTTGAATTTATTGGGCCAAAATCGGATTCTACTGGACCACTCATATCAAAAGGAAAATATTAATATGGATCCGTTCAGATAGAATTTAGTAATTAAATTAATTTGGATCACTTGAAATATCCAATTAATTTAATTAAACCTTTAGAAGAATGGACTGATCCTATTAATTTCTTTATTTTGAGCCCATTACTAAATTGTGGCCCAGTATAATAAGAGATATACCCAATTGATAAAGAGAGCAATGAATCTGATTAAGAAATATGTCTGTATGCATGGAAAGTGGCTGTGAACCTTGTTAAAAAGGCTGTCCAGATACATTATATAAGTGCCGATTTTTCTAGCTATTAAATGCAAGCAAATAGAGCCCAAAACCCATTTTAATTAGGGCCCATATAATATGGACGAATTTTGGGAACCCTAAAGCCATATTTTCACCCCCTCCACACCTATAAATAGGGGTCTCAGTTGAGAGGAATGGAAGAGAACTTCCAGACGAAGAAACGCTGCAGCAAAGCTCTGAAGAACTCCCGAAAGGCTTTGAAGGATTCCGAAGAAGAGGAAGAGATCAAGCCACGTTTTTGTCAAGAATATATGAATAATCCTTTGTGATTTCATCGATTCTTGATCAAACAAAGCCAAAAGTTGAAGAACGTTCGAAGATCTGAAGAACGAAGCTTGAAGATTCGAAGATCTGAAGAACGAAGCTTTGAAGATTCGAAGATATGAAGAACGAATCTTTGAAGATTTGAAGATATTCATATGAAGATTGAATCAATATTCAATTGAAGATCAAGCCATATATCCCGGGAAGCCCTTTAACAGAAGATCAAGCCACATAACGGCCCTTTTGTTGAAGATCAAGCTACTTGAAACCGGAGGCCCTTCAATATTGAATTTTGCATTCAAGAAGATTTGAAGATCTGAAGAACGAAGTTCGAAGATTTGAAGATCTCAAGAACGAAGATTCGAAGAATCGAAGAACGTTCGAGTTTTTTTTGAAGAATTAGAGATTTAATTTTAAATTAAATTCTTTAATTATATTCATATCAAATTGCAAGTGAAGAATCAGAGGATTCATATTTAGAGATTGTACCCGATATTCTCACATATTATTATTTGCGATCAATTTTAAGTAAATACTTAAAATTTGTTTCACAAATTTTTGGCACGCCCGGTGGGACTACTCTACCTCTCATCTCTTCACTTTTAATCAAGGAAAACGAAACAATGGCGTCAAGCAAGCCCGTGTTCACTTTGAATTCTCGAGCATCGTCAAACTCAAATCAAAACATGCAAGGCCCTATCACTAGGAGCCGATCAAGAATCTTGGCTGCGCAGTCATCTTCGGGAACTACTCCCGGTGCAATGGATGGATCTCGAATTGCGCAAGAAATGGCCTGGAAGCTTTCTTCACCCATACGTGAAGTTACTTCCCCGAAGTGGACAAGTGGAGGTGAAAGCTCATCATCTGGATCAGACTCTACTCCCCCATCAAGTCCTCTACGAAGAACTACTCCGCAGTGGTCGAATGTCTACACTGTGATGCCCACTATGACCACGAGCGCCATGACGATGGAAGAACAAATCGCTCATCTAACTAGGGTCATCGAAGGGATGAGTACGTTCATGCAGAATCAAGACCAAAAGTTGAATGAGCTAAACAACAAAGTAGAGAGTTTGAAAGGCGAGTCAAGTCATAATCATGAGAAGGACCCCGAAGTAAATGAAGAGAATGATCCTCATCAAGAGGATTCAGGCAAGGATATCTCAATCTCCGGGGGCATGATCCCGATTGATCAACTTAAAGACTTCATTATGGGAACTATAAAGGGGAAGATAGAAGGAAACAAATCTACTTACTCCTATGTTAAGCCATACACTCAAAGGATTGAGGATCTAAAGATGCCCATTGGTTACCAGCCGCCGAAGTTCATCCAGTTTGATGGGAAGGGAAACCCAAGGCAACATGTTGCCCATTTCGTGGAAACCTGCAATAACGCGGGAACAAGCGGAGATCATCTGGTCAAACAGTTCGTACGTTCCCTGAAAGCAAACGCTTTTGACTGGTATACTGACCTGGAGCCTGGTTCCATTGATAGCTGGCAAGATATGGAACGTGAGTTCTTAAACCGTTTCTACAGCACAAGGAGGGTGGTGAGCTTGCTTGAGTTAACAACT